CACTTTCAAACTCCCCAATGACAGCATCTGTCAACTTCTTACAACAAGGCTTATTTGTTTTTAGATTTATGTATATGAGTGTTCTTCCTGTATATATGTATCCTAGGTTTGGTGCCTGAGGTCAGAAAAGAGTATCAGATTCCCTGAACTGCAGTTACAAAAGAAGGTTGCGATTTGCCACTTTGGTGCTGGAAACTGTATACAGATCCTCTGCCAGAACAGAAAGTACTCTTAATACTGAGCCATTTCTCCAGTTACAATCTGTCAACATTTGGTCCTTTGTTTCTCAGTGGGAGTCCTCGATACTCCTGTTTAAGACATTACTGTGCTCATGGTGAGGTTTTGGGAACACACCATGGGCCCTGAACAATATAGGGCATCAAGTTTTGCTTTCCCCATTAATTTCCATTGGGCATCCTCACTCTCAACTCGGCCTTGAACACAGTCTATTCCTCCTGAGTATGATGAAGGCATAGGTACCTAAGTAAACAGAGGTAACATAGGGCCTGAAGATATAGGGACTCATGTCTTTCTTACAAGACTCCCAAACAATCCTCCTGGATCCTCAATCACCTACACTTGTACTTGAGGAACAACTGGTGGCTACAATTCCTGAGAAGTTCTCAGTACTCAGAGGTGCAAAGCAGTCTGCTTTTGAACCTCTTTCCCGACCAGTCTAGGATTCAGTTGAAACTATCATCTCATCGTTGACCAAAATGTAGTTGCTATCATCTTCCCTTCCTTTTGGATGTATGCATACTTCCCTTTTTTACTTTAGCAGGGTTTAGAGAGGAGGAAACAATAAACACATAATCCTCTACATGTTACAGTTGCCATTAAGGTTTTATAAGGAGTAAAGTGTTTTAAAATAAAAACAAAACAAAACTTGGGACTAGAGCAAGCGAGACAACTTGGCAGTGAAGACTACTTGCTGTTCTTGAAGAGGACCCAGGTTAGGCTAACAACACCCATATGGCCACTCAAAACTACCTAAAACTCCAGGAATACAATGCCTTTCTCTGGCCTCCATGGGCACTGCATATATGTGATGCATAGACATACATGTAGGAAAAACACCTACATACACAAAAAATTTTAAAAGTCAAACTTGGAAGTAAATTTCTCAAAATCAATCTAATCTATTTTATAACTATTATTATATGTCTGAGAAAAAATATAGCTAAAACCACAGTGTCATAAAGGCAAAGATAGTCCCTATTTTGTTTCTCATTGTACTATTTAGTTGAGAGGTGATCAGTAAATACATGCTGAATGTATTTAACAAAGTATAAACAAAGTATACAAGTTTATACAAAGTGTAAACTTTGTATAAACAAAGTTAATATAGCTATGATAAAAATTTAGGACTTTTAGTCTTTATGCTAGTTATCTGGGAGAAGGAGGATCAACAGAGAAAATGCTTCCATCAAATTACCTGTAGAAGTTTGTATGGTATTTTCTTGATTAAAGATTAAGGTGGGAGGGCCCAGTCCAGGGAGAGGGGGTTGTCAACCTTGGGCAGGAGGTCCTGAGTTGTGTAAGAAAGTGAGCAAGCTCTGAGGAGTAAGTCAGTAAGCAGCATTCCTTTATGGCTTCTGCTTCAGCTGCTGCCTCCAGATACCTGACTTACTTCTCACAGTGATGAAGTATGACCTGAGAGTTTTAAGACAAAATAAACCCTTTCCTCTCCAAGTTATGTTTGGCCATAGTGTTTTATCACAGCAACAAAACCCTAGCTAAGACACTCAGGACTGGTTTTGGAAATATTCCAAAAAGCAATCAGACCTACAGATAGATCTAATTATCCGTACCAAAAATGCTTGAGACCAGAAGTGTTTTAGATTTCAACTTTTTAAACTTGGATTCTAGCACACTACACTATATATATAATGGTATCTTGAGGATAAGATAAAATTCTAATTGGAAAATTTACTTAGGTTTTATATACAGCATGTGTGTGCATACATATGACAGAGAGACCGTCAGAGCTTGAATGTGATTCTAAGAGCTTTTTAAATAATTCTGTGCAGGAAGCAAGGTTTACACTGACTCATCAGAAAGCTAGAGTTATAACTCCTTTAGTTACCCATGTGGGCAACTTGTAGTTGTTCAGCATCACCTATATTTCTGGCTCTAAGTTTATATACAACCACTCTTTTTTATTTATTCACAAGTGTGTATTTAGTATTAAAAAAAATATGGCATTGTCTTAATAGAGAAAAACAATCATGCATCACAAAGGCTTGTCCAGAACCCTTGGGTTGGCTGTTTGGGAGGTTTAAAGGTTACTGGACACTGTATTTTAAGTTTGGGTGAGAAGATAAGCCACTGGCAGTTGATCCACACCCATGCCTCTGTTCACTGTGCTAGCATGTGATTCAAGCAAGAATTTTCACTTTTACTCCTCAGCAAGTTAGGACTTAATCTGCTCATATGGCAGAACTTTAAAGGGCTACATTGTTTTTGATAGGAACTTCAGTTGGAGGGTGAACAGAATAGCTATCAACAAAAAAAAATCAAGACATTTTCATCTAGTCCAGCCACGCTAAATATGCACTGGCTGCTGGTCTAAAAACAAACAAACAAACAACAACAACAACCCCCCCCCCCCAAAAAAAAAACAGTAAGAAAAAGAGGTCTCTAGTGATCCAGCTTTCTTGCTAGTGTAGTACGGGATGGTAAAAAATTCAGCTCCAGAAACTTGAAGTTGTTTTTTTTTTTTTTTTTTTTTCATGCAAGTCTCTCACTTGCTTGGTTAGAGTTACACCAAGATACTTTAAGTTATTTGCAGCAATCGTGAAGGGTGTTGTTTCCCTAATTTCTTTCTCAGCCCTTTTGTCTTTTGTATACAGGAGGGTGACTGATTTTTTTGAGTTAATTTTGTATCCAGCCACTTTGCTGAAGGTGTTTATCAGCTGAAGGAGTTCTCTGGTTGAATTTTTGGGGTCGCTTATGTATACTATCATATCATCTGCAAATAGTGATACTTTGACTTCTTCCTTTCCGATAATTTGTATCCCCTTCATCTCCTTTAGTTGTCTTATTGCTCTAGCTAGGATTTCCAGTACTATGTTGAAGAGATATGGAGAGAGTGGGCATCCTTGCCTTACCCCTAATTTCAGTGGGACTGATTTAAGTTTCCTTCTGTTTAGTTTGATGTTGGCTAGAGGCTTGCTCTATATTGTCTTTACTATGTTTAGGTATGTGCCTTGTATCCTTGATCTCTCCAAAACTTTTGAACACGAAAGGGAGTTGAATTTTGTCAAAGGCTTTTTCAGCATCTAATGAAATGAGCATGTGGGTTTTTTTTTTCTTCAATTTGTTTACATGGGTGGATTACACTGGTGGATTTCCATATATTGAGGCACCCCTGCATGCCTGGGATGAAGCCTACTTCGTCACGGTGGATATCTTTGATGTGTTCTTGGATTCGGTTTGAGAGTATTTTATGGAGTATTTTTGTTCTTCATAAGAGAAATTGGTTTGAAATTCTCTTTCTTTGTTGGATCTTTATGTAGTTTAAGTATCAACGTGACTATGGCCTCATAGAATGAGGTTGGTAATGTTCCTTCTGTTTATATTTGGTAGAATATTTTAAGAGTATGGGTATTAGCTCTTCTTTGAAGGTCTGGTAGAATTCTGTGCTAAAACCATCTGGCCCTGGGATGGGAGACTTTTGATGACAGCATCTATTTCCTTAGAAAATACAGGACTATTTACTCACCTGATTCTTGTGCAGGAGGCTGCATATGTCTACGCTAACTTCCTTCTGTGGGTGAGGGGCCTGCACTGGAGAATTTGGGCATTCATGCAAAAGATGTACCACAATTGACAGAGACTCTTGGTCTTGAGGGACACTGAATAAACTATGTTGTATGCCTATATTTTGACTGTGACACATCACAAGATGGCAGGTGTGACATTTTTCATTTGTGACATTATGTTGGCACTCATGCAGTTTTACATTTTGAAATTTGGGGTTTGGGATGATCAATCTATACTTAATTTGGAACTCAGTAATGATCTGCTATATTCAGTGAAGTCTTATATTACAATACTTTTACTATGATTGTGTGTTCTACATCAATAATTTCCTTGACAGCAACAAAATTGGCCCCCAAACTTAATTAGTTCTCTTAAATAATTAGTAGTTGAAAATACAACTTCCTCATAACTCCTACATAAAATTAACATTTGATTATAATTAGTAGATATATAGCTTTAAATGTAATTGGAAGCATTTGTGATGTTAAACAACCCTGAACTAATACTGAAAATGTAAGACCTGTGTCTATATCTACAATCAGTACCTCAGCATCTATGTTTTAGTAACAAACTTTCTTTTTTTCTTTTTCTGAGCAAAGCCCAGGAAGATTATTAAAGAATTAGATTTGGTGGGTCCTTGTCACCTTTGCCCAGTGAACTCTAAAGGTCCTCTCAGCAAGTCTTAGTTGGTAGCTACAATGTAAAATAAATGTGTTTCACTTTGTATTCTCTTTGTATCACCACCCAAGCTTAAAGGGCAAAAAGGGATATTTTAAATATTAGTCATACCTGACACATTTCATAGAGAAGTTATGCCTATAATGTCAAAGTGGAGGACTCTGATATATCCCTGAAGGGTTTACTGTGATTTTTGTTTGTTTGTTTTTGTTTTTTCAACACAGGGTTTCTCTTTGTGGCCTTGGCTGTCCTGGACTCACTTTGTAGACCAGGGTGACCTAGAACTCACAGAGATCTGCCTGCCTCTGCCTCTCTGGGATTACAGGTGTACACCATTGCACCCAGGTGGTTTACTGTTTTTCTAATAGGATGTTTTCATGATAATTTTAAACTATAAATCTCATCGGTCCATTTATATCAAAATGTTCCTTTGAACAAGCCTGTACAAACACCTGTAACCCATATAGTACTACTGTCCTATTATTTATTGGTAATGAATTTTTGATCCTTGTTTACATTCCGCTATTACTAACTTTAAATTAAAATATTATACTCACTTCATCAGCCACAAACTCCTTACTCAGACCAAAATCTGTCAGCACCACATGGCCATTAGAATCAAGTAGAATATTTTCAAGCTTAATGTCACGGTATATAATCCCCAACTGCAAAAACAAAACAAAAAAAATGCACTTTAAGATACCTTCTAAATGAATTAAGACAGCGTTTATCTACCTTTAAGGAAGTTCCTCTTCAGGATTCTGTGGCTCTTGGCAACTCTGACAGCAAATACTCCATATCTTGGGGCTCAAGTGCTGGCTTTCCCAAAGCTCTCCAAATGTCTTAGTTCTCTCTGTGTGATGAGGGTCGATCCCCGGAGCCAGCTGCTTGAGTCTCCCAATTGGCTACTGATTTTTTTCTGTCTCTATCCTCCTTATTTCACATTCACTCCAAATTATCTTCATGGGCATTCTTGTACAATTCTTGTCCACAACTCTGTAATGGCTTCAGAAAACCTTCTTAAAGAGCCATATCCTACGCTGATCATTTCTTTGTTTTCAAACTATGTACTTACCTGTAAATTACTAATTACTAATGTTTCTTTAAAATTTACCATTTATCCTATTATATTTATACTGTCTACTTTTTCAAATTGTATATCCTTATCTGGTATCCTGTATAATGGAATGTACAAGCAATTACAAAAGGTAATTAATAAAGGCTTTTTGAATAACAAGCTCTTAAACATAAAGATTAAAGAGCACAGGTTAATTTTGATGTTTAGTTCTAAATCAGCAAAGCAAATCATTAAATAACATGTATACAGTCAGTTATGCATTGCTTTATGACAAGAGTATTTTCTGGAAAGTATGCTTTAAGTGATTTTGATTGTGCAAGCATCATGGAGTGTACTTTGTACTTACACAATCCTTGATGCTGTAGTGAAAAAAAATATATATAGCCTATTCCTCCTGAAGCCACAAAACAGCATGTGGGCAAAACAAGCAAAAATGGTCACAGACAGAGTAAACATGGGACATAGGAAGCTGCTGCCAGTGAAACATAGCAAACTGTCTTCCAGCAAACCTTCTAAAATGATGATTAAGCATAGAGTAATAGATAAGCCAGACGCATGGCTGGCTTTTGGCCACTACCAGGGTTCATTCTGCTGTGCATAATGGTACGTGGTACACTATTATAGGAGTGGTAGCACAATAGGTTTGTTTACACACATCACATAAAAAGGGATGGAGTCAAGGATAGCACTGTCACAGCTACAGTCAAATGTATGGCTCATCACTGAGTGAAATGTTACACAGTTCAAGACTACATGCCTCTCTGTTTTATTTTTCATGTTAGCAGGATAGTAAAACATTTCAATTATATAAAATAAATATAAAAGGTATCTGATCCACCTCAACTTTATACTTTATGTTTCTAGTTATATGTACATGGATCAAATGTTTTGATACCTTGAAATATTGCTTTCCTCAATATTACATACAGGAGAAAGCGGATTATTAATAATCTCTCAAAACTGAAATAAAAATTATACATTCCTCATTAAAAGATAAAAACAATCCCCCCAAACAAAAACAAAAAACCAGATAATTTTTCTATGAGAGCTTCGGTGGTTTACAAGAGACACAGGAAGGAAAACACAGATGTTTACTGAACATACACTTGACTTGAAGCATTACATATACCTAAGAACCAGCAGCACTTTCCATTTAAACCTCTTTGGAAAAGATTTTTAGAAACAGATTATTTACCAACCAATTAATTTCATCACTTCCAAATAAATGTGTAGTCTCTTCCTATAAGACTTATTATTAGCATCTCCATCAAGATTAATATTGCTGGCTTTGTGTATGCTTGTCTTTTTAGGGTAAGAGAGCTGAGAACTCATTTGCTATACTGCTTTCACTGCATATCCTTCACATTTATTCCCAGTTCCATTATGTTCTCTACACTCAGGTGTTTTATTACTGTTTAGTAATAATGAATGGCATGGAATCATCCTTTAGTAAACAAAATGAATGAATTTAAGTATTACATAATTTAAAGACTGTGTTCTCTAGCTTACCCATTTGGCTTTGTGTTTTGGTTTTAGCTTTAGTACTTATGGTGAGTTTTACTGTCTTTGTTATATTATAAAATATTGTATCTAATTATAAGCTTCAAAGGTATTTGTAGCTTATAATGTAGAATATAATACCTGATATAAACATGTTTAAACTAAGTAATATCACACAAAAAATAAGCATAGCCATGAACCTTGCCACCATAGTAAAATTCTACCAAAAGCAGCACAAAATAGCCATTTATTGTTCCTGCTCTCCTTCCTCTCCACTGCCAGCTCTCTTCCTGTGTCTCACATATTTTTATTCACTTTTCACTTAAGACAGAGTCTCGCTATATAAAACCAGGCTGGCCTCAAACTCACAACCCTGATCTCTGAAGCTCCCTGGTTATGGGATTTTTCTATATATTACAATTCTGTTTCCCTCTCCTGGTCCTGTCTTGTTTCTCTTCTGGGCTAGGCCTGCCTTATTTTCTTGTACCTTCCAGAATCTTTTCTCAGTCTCTCCCATTTATTGTCTCCATCTCTGATTTAATTTCAGATCAAAATTCCCTGCCCCTTTAAGATGCCTTCCTTACTGTTCTCCTTCAACTCTTACCTCTTTTTATTATGTTATGTATTGTTCTTTAATCTGTTCATCTTAAGATAAGGAAAGAATGACAAAAATGACAAAGAGTGGCTTCATGATTTATCTGCATTGTTGAAATTTGGTGACTTAAATTACACTGTGTCTTTACAAACTTGCATATCTTTGATATCAATTACTTTAGCATTTTCTATTTCTGAGCAAACCCATCATACTGAGGCAACACAGAAACCACCCACTTCTCCAATAATTTAAGTAAGTTAAGTCAAGATTTCTTGGACCAGAGTTAAGAATATCTGCAATAATACAATTAAACTTATTTGCACAGAGTTCCAATAGGATCATAGATACAACATCCAGGTAAAGTTTCAGTCTCTGAGATCATGCCACATGGAGACAATGAGAGGAGCAGAGCAGGGTAGGTGCAAAAGTAAGTTAACACAGGAGGGAAAGAAATAACTCCAAATCTTCAGTAAAATCAGGAAGGACCCTCTGAGAACAGACAGGTTGTGTAATGGAGCGAGTCACAATTAAGAAAATACATTTTACAACTTGGGGCTTCATTTTAACAACCAACAACTTTTATTCTGATGATACATTATAATAAGCAAAACACTGAGATTTTTCATAAAGACAAACAAAAAGAAAAAAGCTCAAGTTTTTTTATTTTTGTTAATTTTTTGTGTCTCAAAACACAACAGAAAAAAATCTATTTTCTGTTCATTTATTTAGCTGGGGGGGGGAGGTTGTCTCACTTTGTAACTCAGCTTGACCTTCAACTCATGATCCTTCCGCCTCAGCTTCCCAAGTGCTGGGACTGTAGGCATACCACACCAAGCCCAGCAAAAAGCAAATACAAAACTGAGAACACAGTAACATTCATAAGCCCTAAGACAACATGTGAAAACATGTTTATTAGCTCCATCAACACGTCAGTTAACAGACTGTTCCAAAGGAAACTGCAAAGACGAAGCGCCTTACCTTATGCAGGTGTTCCAGGGCAAGCACGATCTCTCCAACATAGATCTGCACTTCGTGCTCTGTGAAACGCTCTCTTTGAGAAAGATGAGTAAAAAGTTCTCCACCATTTATATAATCTAAAAACGAAATATATTTTTTCTTTCTTTGATTTGCATTCACAAATGAAAGGAAATAACTCCTTTAATCACTTTGGGTTAACCATTAATTTATTTTTGCATAACTTCCAGTATATGACAGTTTCAAAGAAAGTATATTACTTTCATAATGTCATACAATTTCCTAAAACAATGCTCATCCTAAACCAAACAAATTAATGTACAAAGAGCAATGCCATTAAAACTGTCTGTGGACACAAAATCCTCAGATTTAAGACTTCTTCAAAGACAGAATATCAGCGCCCTCTTCCTCAGTGTGCAACTTACTGTAGAGCATCAAACATCAGCCACATGACAACCAAACCATCCCCATAAAACCCCACACAAGCTCAAACAAAACACAAGCAACATCCTATCTTGCCATGTGCAATGGCTGCCAATCATTAGTTCTAAGCCTTTAAATAGATTCCAGTTTTGTAGAATTGTTCATGCACACTTTAAAGGAATGTATTGTTCGGTAGCAGGTAGCATTCTTACGGCTCCATAGCATGGCGTAAAAAAGAATATGGAGCAAAAGAAACACAACATGGCTGAATGAAAGTATTTAAACTCCAAAGATTTCATTTCTCTTCAATTTGCCCCATTTTTCACAAGGAAATAATAATTAAAAAAAAAAAAAGAGGGAAAATGGCTAAAGTAAAAAAGAGGGTTGGTTGCCTCATTGGGGGAAGAACACTTATCATTAGCATTAAGAAATTAGGTACCAACAGGTTACTACTATTATAAAGTGTTTAAAATTATACATGACAATAACCTTTATATAAAAAAATGAACTCTAATTTCATCAGAGACTAACCACAAAGAACATTTCCTTTCTTTCTGTATTTTGCAAGATGTTTTTAATGTATCTGAACACAAAGCTAATTATTTAAAAGGTGTAAAGGAACACAACATTTCAACAAATGAACAACAGATTTTTCTATTTTTAAGCAGTTATTTACTTAAGCTTAAATTTCCATAGTCACAGCACATATATAATATATATATAATGGACAAATTCCCACAAAGTCTCAAATGTTCAATTCAATCACTTCATTTTCTATGACCAACTTCAACAGAGCCAACTTCTTCCTCATGGCATCACCATATTATTGAAGACTTTTTACCAATGAACCTATCTTGCTGTGTTCCTAATTTAGGTTGTACTCCTTTCTCTGCTACACTGTATTTTTAAGCATCAAGACCGATACAGTCACCATACTATGCTACCACAAATGCATGACTGTAACACTCAGTAGATCTTTTTTAATTTAATAAAAATTAATTTATACTGCTGTTTTGCATGTCTATCTTTGCTTTCTGTTATTTTTAATCAGCATACAAAAGAATGGGTTTTATTCCTACATTTTTATATGTGTTATGAACTTTGCTTACATTCTTTGCCCCATTATGTTCTCATCATTCCTCTCAATGACGCGTCCCCTCTCTGAAAACAATCATTAAAACTGAAAGGACCGTCCAGTGTAAAACAAAACGAAATACCTCCAATAATTTCCTATCTCAGAGGCAATGTGACACATTTAGAGAAATGAGGCATTTATAACTGAGAGACCCAAACTAGACAATGGTTCTACTGTTGTCCTGTTGTGAGCAAATTAAGGCTCTCTGATCTCCAATTCTTTATCTATTAAACAGAGACAATAGCTTTTTGTGAAGTACTGTTGCCTAGGATATAGGAAGTGCTTCTCCATTGCTGGGTAGACTCAAGAAAAAGAAACTATAAATCCAAGACAAGCTACACATTTTTCTACTTCTGAGACAGATTGTTAAGACATTCATAAAAACCGGTATTTTTACAGGTTTATGTTATATACTTTACAGGTAATTCTATCCAGTCATCCAGGCTTTAAGAGTGGTAAATTAGAAATGAGGCAGACCAAGGAATCTAACAGCAGAAGCTACAGTAAGCACTGTAACCAGAAGCAGACACAGTACAAGCTGGTGAGAGTCTAGAGGCTGACCAGTTGCCACCCCTCAGTCTTGGTTCTGCTCAGCATGTAGCACATCTCATTAAAGTTTCAACTGTCATTTCCTGAATATGTAGTATTACTTAAAATGTTTAAAGGACCCAGTGAACACCTCTACATCTTTTGCTGTGAAATACACATGAAAGTCACTCTCACTGACTGCTTTGTTTTTGAGATATACTTAACACACCACTAATTTACCCACTTCAAGTACAAAATTCAATAATTTGTTTCTTCAGATTTGTATAGCTTCTACCCTAATCAACTGAATTGCCTCCAATTTATCTGCCTTCAAATGCTTGTGCTTCTGATGACATATGTAAAAAATTATTACAAAATTCAATGCCACAAAAATTTGCAACGTTTTTGTCTAAGACTTTTATAGCAATTATAGTCTCTTAAGACCCTTATCTTTAGTCTTTGATTCATTCAGTTTAGAGTTAAGTTTTGTTTATGTTGTGAGGTATGGCTCAACTTCATACTTTATCATATAGCTATCCAGCTTCAGCACCATTAGTTGAAAACCTGCTCTTCACTGTCACTCTTGCTGAAAAGCCAGTTGACGGTGAATGTGAGGATTTCTGGACTCTAGGTTCTGTTCTACCAACCACATCAATTATAGGTCTAAAGTCGGGTAGTGGTAGTGCACACTCTTAATAGCAGCACTGGGGAGGCACAGGCAGGTGGATCTCTGAGTTCAAGGCCAGCCTGTTCTACAAAGGATAGCCAGGGCTACGCAGAGAAACCCTGTCTTGAAAAACCAAAACCAACCAATCAACAACAATAACAAAAAACCAAAACTCCAAAACAACAACATTATAGGTCTATCTTTATACCAGAGTTACCTTTTTGTTGTTGTTGTTTGTTTGTTTTAAGACAGGGTTTCTATGTATAATCTTGGCTGTCCCAGACTCACTTTGTAGACCAGGCTGTCTTTGAACTCACAGGGATCTGCCTGCTTCTGCCTCCCCAAGTGCTGGGTTTAAAGGCATGTGCCACAACACCCAGCCTTGGAGTCACATTTTTACAATCAGAATAGTATTGTTGTTTTTGTTTTTCTGAGGTCAAGTCTCACTATTGCCCAGGCTGACTTCCAACTCCTAGGCTCAAGCACCCTTAGTCTCTCAAGTAGCAGGAGTACAGGTGTAGACCTGGCTTACAATATTTTTTAAATCAGGAAGTGAGGTTTGTTTTTTTTTTATCTTGGTTCTTTCTTCAGTTCTCCTCAGCCCCTTGAGTTTCCACCTGAATTTTGGGATCACCTTATTATTTCTACAATAATATGACCTGAAGTTTTGAGAGGAGATACATAATAAGTCTGATATTCAATTTAGGAATAATGCCACCCCTAACATTCCATGATGATGTCATGATTTTCCATTTATATAGCTCACTTTCACCCTTTGAACAATGTGTGTTTTCCTGTTCTTCATTGCCAAATGTTTTATTGTTTTTACTCTATACTGAATGAAATTGTTCTCTTAATTTACTTTTCAGGCTCCTCACTGTAAGAATATCAAATTTTAGTTGAATGCTGCTCTTATATCCTGAAACTCTGCTTAACTTGTGTATTGATTCTTATATTTTTAATAGGTTCTTTAGAACTTAATAAGATCATGTCATCTTAAGTTTTTCTTCCTACTTGGCAAATCTATAGGCTTTTTGTGATCTTTCTCGGACTACAATGTTTAATAAAGTGGCAAACATAGATATTCACTCCATGTCTGACTTGAGGAGAGAAGCATTTGGTCCTTCATTATTAAATACTATGTTCACTGTATTTTGTTTTCATGTATGTTTTATCCAATTGGAAAGTTCACTTCTTTGCCTTCTTTGCCTGTTTTGGTCTATGTTTTTCATCATAAATGAATGTTGAGTTTTAGCCAATGCTTTTTCTGTGTTTACTGAGAAGATCATATAGTCCTCTATTCTACTGATATGGTATAATGAGTCTAGGATTTTAAGACAATCTTGTACTCCTAAGATTAATCCTACTTGGTCATGCTATATAATCCTTCTTATTTACTCCTGAATACAGTCTGGCAGAATTTTGTTGAGTAATTTTGCACTTCATTCATGAGAGATGTAAGTCCATGTTTTCTTGTAATGTTTTCATCTGGTTTGTACACTAGATAATACTGGCTTCAGAGGACAAGTTGTTTTCTATATTTAGAAAACAAAGTGTTTTCTATATTTTGGCCAACTTAATGAAATTTTTGGTATTAATTCTTCTTTAAATGTTTAGTTACAGCAGGGCAGAGTGGCATATGCCTTTAATCCCAGCACTTGGGGAGGTAGAGGCAGGTGGATTTCTGTAAGTTTGAAGCCAGCCTGGTCTACAAAAAGAGTCCAGGACAGCCAAGGCCTCACAGAGAAACCCTGTCTTGAAAACAAACAAACAACAACAACAACAGCAACAAAAGCTTAGTTACATTCACCAGTGAGGACACTTGGGCCTTGCATTGTCTTCAAGTACACTTCCACTTCCTTGAGACCATCATCAGTAGAGTCAATTCCAGTACTCCAGAGCATCCTAGAAATGCTTCTCTTCCTTTCTAATTTTTTTGTTTGTTTGCTTTTCAACAAAAGGTGTCATCAAATTTCCTGGGCTAACTTCAACCTTACAATCCTACTGCCTTAGCTTCCTGAGTGTTGGTATTAGCCATGGCTACGAACCTTGGCTAGGCATAACACCCAGTTAACTGAATGTTGTTACTTAATTGCTCATAATACTCTGTTGTAATTAATTTTTAATTCAAAAGTCGTTTCTTCTATATCATTCTTGATTTTACAGTCTTAAAAAATTTTGGTCAGTTTAGCTAAAAGTTTATAAACTTATTTTTTTCAAAGACCACTTTTTTTCACTGATTTTTCTCATGTTTGCATGGTCTCTGTTGGATTGTTTTCTGGTATTTATTATTTTCTGCTCTTTTCTTTGCTTTAAGTTAGTTTGACCTTCCTTCTGCAATGGCTAAAGGCAGGGAGTTGAGTTAC